AAGAAAGGACCTTTTACTTACATGTTCTTTAGGAACTTGTGCAATTTCTAAAAGTCTTTGTTTTCCTTCATATTCTATGAGGGTTCCTCCCTATGAAAATGGAAATTATTCTCTTAATCTTGCAATAAATGCACATCAAAATACATAGCTGGATTTCTGGATTTTTCATGCAATTATCACTTATGACTTAAGTATTAAGAGTGCTTTTCCTTACCTTTACATCAGCCCGTGTTTTATCAGTGACTTCCATGACAAACTCAGGAGCTGGTGATCGCGAAGGATTTAACATGTAATTTAAAATATCTGAATATGGTTAAAGAAAGTTTGGTTTCTCTGAACACAATTCTGTTTCAGTCCTTGAGGCTAACCTTGGAATAAAACAGTTGAGTTATATCTATGAGGAAGCCTACATCAATAACAAGGTAATTTAGCATTATCAACTGAGTTGATAACATAAATTGGCCATTGTAAAAAGTTTTAAAGCCAATGTTTTGAGTGTTAGCCCTTTTTCAGAGTGAATTTAAAATATCTGAACACAGTCAAAGAAAATTTAGTTCCTCTAAATGTTAGTCCTTTGTTTTTCCCTTTGACAAAGGGCTAACCCTTGAAATATCAGCTTTGAAACTCTAAACAGTGGCAAATTTACCTCATCAACTCAGTTGATAATACTGAATTACACAGTTATACTCTTCCACTGATGCAGCACCACAGTTTCTTTAGAAACATACCCCCTTTATACATAAATAATAACCTTAGAAACTTGTGTGTCTAGCAAAATATCAGTTATGACTCAAATCCAGACAGCCAATTTTCTGGTCTGTGCCATTCTCATTAGTGACAAACGGTGGCAGTATAGGGAAGAACTAGAGGACTGGACAGAGGGACAACTTCCATTTGTCAGGGGAAACTAGTAAGAATGTCACATCAAACGTAGCATCATGGTTCTTTTTGGTTAAGGCAAAATGGTGTGGGAAAAGTGTGAACCTTTTTCTACACAGATTTCAATTTATCCCCCAAGAGTCTAGTCTTGAAATTTGCTACAAAAAATTGAGGAGGGGGAGGAGGAAAATACTCCCTGTTTGAATGTGTTGTCACACTTCTGCAAACTTTCAACAGTGTTAAAGGATATTTACATCCACAGTGGCTCCTAAGTTGTCAATATTTGACACAAATATAAACTCTTTGCCATCATCAATGAATTTTTGGACAAGACCAGAGTTGTAGAATGAGCCATAAATATCCCCATGACCTGGAGGGTACCAGCTGTTTGAGGAAAGAAATACAGTGCATGTATCAGATTTGAAACTTGTGGTTTAATTTTATTCGAGGTAACAAGACCTTTTCCAAGGTATAAATTAGCACCTGCTGGGAATTTCAGTCCCTCAAAAAACTCTCCACTAGGATACATATTCCATCTGCCTTTACTTGTTATCTAATGTATATATCTGATATTACTTACCATTCAATATTTGACTCATTTTTCTGAGCTCCTATGAGTCTAGGTAAGGGGAGCAGAGACTCCTTTACAATGCGGGGATGTTGGCTCTGATTAAAGCAGTGAATTTGAACATTATTTGCTTTGTACTTCCTCAAGGTCTTCTGAGTCTCTTCGTGCGTGTTGAAAGAATTCATAAGGACAAGTGGAACAGAGCAGCCATACTTGTTGTTTAAATGCTGTAAGAGAAAAGGTGAAAGGCATGAATCATAAATCTTAAACTTAGAGATTTTATAAACCTTTGGAGTTTTGTCACTCTCCTTTCTAGAAACTACCAAAAAATAACCAGGGAGTGCTTTCACTAAGCTCTTTAATTCCTAAAAGTGATTAGCATCTACTTTCTCCCAACCTCGTCACTGTTGAATCAAACATCATTGTCATGGGAATAAGGGAAATGATTTCCTAAAAGCTCTTGATTGGGAAACAAATTATCTGTGTAAAGTCCATGTGTACCATAGGGAAATTGTAAGGAACAGTTTGCAGAATATAGATTATGATGTAATGGTGTAGAGAGTGAAGTTATGTTGAAATAGATATCCTCTTGAAAAGAAGTCTTTTTCCAATGTTTTTCCACTCAGGTCATTCTTGATCTGATATTTTGAGTAAACACACCATAATCATTAGGATAGATGAAGACAACTTCTGAAAAGAAGTGCAATTTATGGTATTTTTTTGTGGTGTTAAACTAGCCAGCCTTTACTCTTATTTTTCCCCTCTGTCCTCTCATTTTATCTTGCTGCTTCACATTGCATACTTCATCAGTTGCCGAAATTTGAAATTTAAAAATTCCAAAGAGAACCTAAACAGTAATTATTCCCAAGAGTGAAAGTCTCAAAAAGGCCACAAATAAACACCATCAACTGACTCAAAAGTTCGATAAAATTTGTGGTCTTAACCCTGTAATTCCCATGAATGACCAAGACATAATTTCTCCATACAATATCCATACAACATCAAGGAAACAAGTGATGAGAATAAAGAGTTATATCAATTAAGGAATTATTAGAATTACTAATGATTCAGATCTTGGGAGTGAAAGGGTTAATATAATTTATTTTAAAGTGTGTCACATTTCATTTCAAGCATAATTTTTGTTACCTCAATTTGCTGAACATTCATGTCAAGGAAGGTTAAATCCCGACGTAACGAGATAAGACTTTTGGGTCCAGTACATCCCATACTTGTACCCAAACCTCCATTAAGCTTGATCACCACAAGTTTATTGAGGACTTCCTTAAAAGTGCTTGCTGGAACCTCTGGTATTGCATCGTACATGACAATCTAAAGGTTAGATTGTTATATAAACATTAGAGAAAATACTGTCTTACTGCTGAGTGATGTAAAAGCACTGTAATCAAGTAAGATGACTGTACTAGGATTATAGATAGTTGATTGTTGAATAAAGACAGAATGTAGATTTAGCAATGAAAGAATGAGTGTCTCCTGACTGACTCAATAATCCAATACACAACAATGTACATCCAGTGTGCTGGATCAATTGGACATATCAATATCAACTCTTTTATTAACAAATATTGGATGCCACAAGAAGTGTTATATTGGAGTTATCTTAAATCATCCTATAAACACTTTTTACAATTACGAACAGAGACATAAGAATCATCATCATATCATTGTCAAGAATTTTCTCAGCAGAAAGCATGACCAACTAGATGCAATCCCTAAATCTTTGTATAGATAGGTCATGAATGTTCTACTCACAGATCCTTCGGGAGGAGGTTTGATTTTGTCCCAGAGTACTGATGGACCTTCTTCCTCAAGATACCTGCCAAACAACTCTTTGAAGCCTTTCATATTCTTCAATGCTTCCTAGAAAGCAAACAAAAAATCCAGCATCTTGAAAGTCTCCAACATTTTGAGGATGGTGTTAAAGGATTATGGTAAACCAGCTGTTTATATGGCTTTCTGCAAGAATCCTCTCACTGGCAGAGACAAAATATTCCTCCACCACCATGCAGAATTCTTTGGCTAAGTTTCAATGACCTGAGCAATTTATTCATTCACTAATATCCTCTTGTTACTTGAAAATATTTCCCTTAGCTTTTTGGATTTCTTGACGAAAACCCTGGATTGATAACATTTTGTTCCTGAAAATTACGTTCTTGATTCAAAACTTCTTAAACGAAATGCACATTTTTAACTGGCTGAAATCAGTGATCCAGTCTCAATTAGTTGTAGATAAATTAACCATGGCAAAGACTTAATTGGATTGTTTTGATTGAATGATCTTAGGATGAAATCAAACATATATTCCACTTGTGAGTGTGTTTTCAAACTTTTCTCTCTTTCTCGAATCATAGGCAACGAAGGCAAAGGTCATCCTATATCAAAGATATATACCTTGAATAAACTTACACCGAAAAACAAATGCTTTGGAAGGTAAGGCAATATTGAGGTATGGCTTTGAAGTCTTTGTACCCGAGGTATATTATTGGGAGAAACTTTCTGTTCCTCTGATGGGATAAGCTGTTTATCTTTATGACTATGCATCCCTTAATTCACATTTTGGACACAGGTAAGAATTAATTATCTCCAGTTACATGTTAAGCCGTGATAAGCCGGTGTCAGTGTTTACACTACCTCTGAATTGCACAGCTGTGTTTAGATTTAAAACTTTGAAGGTGGTTTGCAACACTAAAAGCCCTACAAATACAGTTCAGAGAGACATTACCTCCTTCTTGTCTTCTGGTGCTGTTTCAAGTAAAATCTTCAATTCAGAGTCCATTCGTTCAAAGGCATCTCTACGAGCGAGAGATTTGAACTCGACCACAGGGTCTGACTTTTGATCTGAAGATGTCGTCTGAAACAACGAATAATCAAACACAGTCACCACTTTGCTCGCAACAGAAAAAGAACATTCACACGAGTCCATCGCATCTCACGGCTTACCATGATATGTCTACGTTGCAATGACGCTAATTACTCCCTAACAAAGGATACAAGAAATAAAATATTTATCGTAGAGGTAGACTCTCTCCACTACATGAGTTAATTACAACTTGTTTGGATCCCAGACTCCCACGAGCAGATACAATAGAATGCGTGATTCCGTGATAGATTGATAGATTTGCTTTAATTTCATGTTTGATTGCTTTCTTTGTTTAAGAATATTTAGTAGTGAAAGTATTAAAAAGACAAGAGACACTTTATTGTAGCAGAGACTCATTCGCACGATATCGGAGAAGGATTACAGAAATACACTTCTAAAAATATAGGTATCATTTCTTGGGATACGCCTCAACACAGATCTACAAATCGCTTCCCTCCAGTTTGAAAGATCAGTTCTTTTCATTTTAATGGTGATTGAATTCAACTCATAAGATAATGAAATCGGAATTTTTTCTCCAAAACGGGGCCCAAGATCCTTTCTAGTTACACTCCTAACAATCCAGTCAAATTTCGCTTTTCATTGTAATCGTCGTTTACATATATTACAGTAGTGCCTATTTTACTGCGTGGCATTTTGAAAGGTTAATCAACCATGATAATTTATCACAGCAACCCTAGATAACTCGACCAAAATGAAACAAAAACATGGCTGAGACTCTTACTGTTTGTTTCTACTTTCACTGTAGAAGCAGTTCGTTGATCGGCCTCGAAAACTCGTAGCTGCATAATTATTTGTCAACACCCGTGGTATACTAAAATCGATTGGAATATTTAGTTACGTAAGGTTAAAAGTTCCGGTACCTTGAATGATTTCCAGACATCATTTTTACAGTCAAGGTTATCTACTGTGTTCGAAGCCATGGTGGCTTCCTCCTTACAATCAATGGCTGAATCCGAAAAACCAAGTTAAACCTGGGTGGAATTTACTAGGGTTAATATTAACAGATGACGTGACCTGATAACGTGACTCCAATGGGACTCTTCTCCACCCAGGGGTTATAATTTCGCGATAGCGTTCTGTCTGAGAAATCTGACCAAATGATGTGGGTTACTTGCGCTGGACTATCTTTTCATCACAATACTCCTGGTCGCTTAATGAGACTGCGACAGACTCAGGCTCCAGCAGTGCGGACCACCTTGCTCATGAGCAAAATCTTATGACATTAAAGCCTCCGATGACTCCAAGGTTTATACCACACTATGATGGGTCACTCCAGAGAAGTCCTCTACTTTGTGAGGAGAATCTGGGAAATGATAATTGTGATCTGCGATAAAATCAGACATAAAAAGGTCAAAGAGGCATGAAAGATGAATTCGGGCCTCGACTGGCTGGACTGTTGCTCATGCTTACCTGCGGACGATAAGTGATGAAGTATTCCTCGATGGTAAATTCAGTTAAAACAATCTCAGAATGAGATTAAAACCTCAAAAAGTGAGTTCAGATGATTCTTTCAGAACCCGCTATAGAGGCATGATCCGAGTAAGATTCCATGAATAGAACGACGCGATCAGAATAACGCGATTCTCCTTGCAACTTTCATGTTTGGCAAGGGGCCATGAAGCCATGAAGGAGTGTGTCCGCATGTGTGTGTTGGGAAACAGGGAAGGCGAAGGGGACGAGGAACGGGTGGGGTGAGGGTATTTCCCTATCTGCTCTTTTTTCGGTTACACGAGGAGCCCCCGACCAAAACTGGTACTTTTTTATTTAAATAGAAATATATATCTGACAAGCTGTAATAAGTAGATCCAAACTGGGACACAGACCGCTCGTCGTGTGGCATATTGGGCTCTTGTCATTATAATATACTACGTACCACACAAGTGAATACTGCTTTTTATCTTCGCCCTGATTGGCTGGTTCAGAAGTGATTAGCAAGAACTATTCACCTTCGAGTAACCGAAAACATCGCGTGTCAACAATGTAATTTCCGAGCATTTCTTGGTATGTTGACAGAAATAATTTAATTCTCTTTGGCTTCTGTGTGATATATGCTAAAACGATTATTCACCTCAGTGTCGGTGAAAGTGCTGGATATTTTCTCTACTTCGGTGATTAATTGTCTACTTTTCAGTTAAGTATCAAAACTAAGGGTTTGGGACTTCTTTCAATTCTTAAACATAGGAGCAAGAGGTATTTATGGATAATATTATTTACACAGGCGAATTTGTGTTCTTTCGACTAATGCAGGTTGCTGGTGTACGCAGCACCGGTATAAAAGAACACGCCATCAAAATAGCTGTGTGATTTCACATAAGAACTCAGGAATGAGAAGATTTAAATTACCTAACTCGGCTCAAGAGCACTTTTTCCATGCCCCAGGGATGATGTGGTTTTCTCAGTACCCTATGAGATATATTCCATACAATCTTGCAAGAATAAAGAGCTCATGAATTGAACAGGGGAACCGGCAAATTATGTAATTGGTATTTTGCGCCTTTCGTAATACAAATTCATGATTCTGTGAAGAGCATGATTTTTTAAATTGAATTTTCTCAACAAAGTGTGGCTTACCTTAGTCTTGACATGCGGTGTTTCAAGCCACCACTCCGTTACCTAACGAGCTAACAAGATTTAAACTGAAAGATTGATTGGCAGTCCTTGGTTTTATTATCTTGAACGTCCCACAAAGATTATTTGCATATAAAAAGGTACAAGTGATTCAAATGCAGGGATGGCCTACCGAAGTTAATTACACCCTCAAATTATACTGTTGAATCAACTGGTAGTTACGAGGATGAAATGTTAACTGTTCATTGGAGACTCTCTATACACTCTCGTGCAACTTCGAAGTGATTCGCGCTTATTTCGAAATGGCGAAATTATCTGAAACAATCGCGACAAAACCGAAACATTGCTGTTGGAAACGTGGACGTTTCTTCGGGTTACCTGGTATCCACATTAGATTGAATACTATTGTGATTTAAAATCATATATCCAACGCCATTAGTCAAAAGAACGAGTTAAGTTCGGAATCATAAACATTGCAGTGCTCCTGTTTTGCAGGTTTACAGCTAAGAGAGTACAGACGGAAAAGACAGAAAAGGAAGCAAAAACGAAAAATTAACTGGATAAAAAAAAAAGATTAAAAAATCCAACGTTAGTTTTAAGCATGCCAATCATTGATCACCTTTTATTTTCATATAAGTTAAGTCATGTCACTCTTTTCTGTTATTCATAAGCGCTTGGTACTGCTGCACAGGTAATTTGTGATTTACTCCCCTGCCTGCGGGCATGCCACGATCTCATTAATGCTGCGGCGTAAGCGTTTGCTTGCGGGTAAGTTTAGCAAAGCCAGCTGGCGTTTCATCATCAAGGAAGCCGGCTGTCTGCAGTGCTAAACTACTTCCTCATCTCTCGCGGGCTATCGTTACTCTGGGCCTCAAACTTTATTGCAGGCAAAGTAACGCTTGTACTTGCTCGAAGACTAGAAAGATTTATTTCAACGCCTCTCAGAAACTGAGAAAACAAAAGCGCGAAGAATAATGATTCCGGCACTGGATTATTTTTCCCAGTATGTGAAGTTTTTATTTTATTTGTTGTTCTGTTTGTTTGAAAAAACCATCGAATACGATGTTTTTTTTTTCTTCTATTTCCTTTTACCGGTAAGCCCTCCTCATTCACAATTAACACGATTTGTGGCCTTCGCTAGATACACAAGCTCTCGCATCCAAAGTAACTCCTACTTGCACTCGGAACAATTCCATTTAGTACTACATTATTTGACACGATAACAATAGATTCACACTTTAAAAAGATCATTTCGTTTCCCTCAGCGTTGGGACTGTGAACTGGCTTCTCAGATGGGATACAGATTATGCAAACGAATTGACGATCGCCTGATTATCTTCTTTTAGAGTGGTGGGTGCAGCTGCACACAGGTTAGGAAAAACAAACGAACCAGACTCTCATTAAACTTAATTTTATTCAGCACCGCGGGTAGCTTCGAAAAACGCTTGACACCTCTTCTAAGTTATCATAATTTCCCGAAAACTCCAGCATAAATAAGGTTAATTAACATCAAATTGTTTTTTGTACTCCTAGCGTTATTAAATATAGAGCCCTGTTTTATCAAAACTGGCGAATAATTAGTATTTTATTACTAGCTACAAATCACATGTTACCAAAGCCTAGGAATTAACTTGAAGAACTGTTTCAGCGCATTGTTCTCAGTTTGAGAACCTCAAGAACATAACAAAATTTTCTTTACACCTGTGCAGAATTATAATTGCAATAAGTTAAGAGAAAACAAAAGGTAACGAAAGTGCATAATAGATGAGGTGAAATTTGGATAAATTTAAACAATTTCAGTACAGTTTTTTACTTTTTAATTAGTGGATTTCACTGGGAAGTATTCTTCGCGGAAATGTTTCTGTGGCAAAGACATTTCATTGAGCACACAAATACTCTGTATAAATTAATTAATAAAAGGAACCAAAAACATTTCTCATTTTCGAAGAAAATGAGAAAGATTTAGATGTAGAGCTACATTGACACGACCAACAAACGGCGAACCGTGACAATTTCAATTCAGCCTTTTCCTCGTTTGAAAATAAAGTTGAAGGCTGAATCCTGAGATCGAAAAATCACCAGGTACCTGGAGGATCTGGTTTCAGAAATAAACTGCGCTTAACTCTTAAAAGCTTTCATAAGGGCCATCGGTCAGTCAAATTGTCCAGACGGAAAAGTTTATCGCCTTTGGCACCCGGGTCTTGTTTAAGCAGAGCTCTGAGAAAATTAAATTTTCGCATTTGTTGTGAAAAAATGCTTTTACTTTTCTGTCACATATATTCAGCAGCTTGGAGAAAACGAAGAAAATCTGAAAAGGTAAACCTCTTTGCCGTTCGCGTCAACAATAAACTAAGTTCTAAATTGGGCGCAAAGACTAAGCTTAATAAATCCTTGTTGACTTTTTAAACCACTTAGCCAATCAGATCGCCACATAATCATATGCGATTTGCATCTTTTTAATTTTGTGCGATTTAGTTTTATTTTATCCCACTGGCACAGAAATACAATTACATCACAAGTGTTCCCGTTCAAAAACATCTTAATTCAGCCCTCTAAATGCCCAGCTCTTTGTGATTGGCTGTAAAGCATAGAGAACTGAAAAGTACATCAAAATTACTAGTACACGATTATCCTCCATATATTTAAAATGGCGAGAAAGCTCCTTCTAAACTCACCAACTATTTCTTAATGTGTCTTACTTCCCCAAAATAATAATTAATTTGTCCTATTGCAAAAAATTTTTATTTATTTCTTTTTGATCCTTAGATAAAATACTCCTTCATCATAATGAAACATGCTTGTGAACAAGAAAATATTCCAATTTGGACTAAATATTTGAGTGTTTTACACTCCTATTTGTTTTCAATCCGTTATTTTTAACAATACAGAACAATTTTCAACTGAGTGTCGAAGACATCCGGAATTGCTTTGGTCTTTTTACTTAACTCCTCTCTGTGATTGGTCGAGAAAACTCGCGCCATTCTCTCAACCAATCAGATCCTAAACTACAAACAATCGTGAGTGAGTCACTCTTTCTCATTGGCTACTTACAATGTTTAAAAGCTTTCTTCTGATTGGATGTCGTGATTAGTTTGGGTTGATTTTTCGACACCCAATTGAAAACTGCTTTAAACGTTCAAAGCCTATGCTTCAAACGTCTTCTGCAGTGAATTTAATGACATCTATCGATTTATATTAACAAGCTGCTGCACACAATAACACTCTTGTTATGTCTTTTTCTTAAAGCAGGTAAACACAATAATTCTGACTAAGATAAACAAACTTACGCTACACGTAGAGTTAATTTTTTCTCCTGAAATGCACACATTCATCTCACTGAATATGCAAGAGTTCCTTATCTTGACTCCAGCGGCCATCTTTACTTCTGATGGTGCCGTGCGCTGTCATTAATCGGTATTCTCAAGGAGGTGTTAAGTAGCTCCGTAGGAACGCAATACTGAGGGGCTGGCGTTTGGATAGCAGGTCGATCAGTCGCCAGGGTAGCGTAGAAGAACCAAGATGAACCTGAAGACAGAAAATTTCAAATAAGTAGAAAGCAAAGCTACACTGATAAATTAAACCTCTCAGTGCTAAAGGCAGTCAGTTTCTGTGGCACTCAGTGACTAGGCGTAGTGTTGTTCCTGTTGGATGGAATGCTTGTCGCATCGCACCGTCCTAGCTGCCCTGACTGTTCATCGCTTCCCATCCGTACTCCTGATTGGAGAGGGGCATGGTGAGAAGATAGCGTCTTACGCAAAAACACACCTCAACTAAAACCTGGAAAATGTTCAGGCTTGGATCTGATTCAGAGTAAGGCGCGCTGAACATTTGGGCGATGGGTCTCCCATAGAGTGAGAGTGAAACTAATTAAAAAGTAAGAAATTACCTTGGTGATGTACCACACCAGAGACATTTCTTGTCCTTCAACACGTAACGGTTCTACAATCCATCCACTGGACATAATCTTTTATGAAAAGAAATGATAATGTTATGTTATTTGCCCTGGAACATTCAAGAAAGATAGCTTAATAATCGTAGAATGCTTTTTCTTGTCTGGGATATTTTCCACATTGGTTACTGGACAAGATAAGAAAACCTTCAACAAAAATACTGTTATCCCCCACAAGTGACGGAAATATTCATAGTTATCCATTCTAGTGTTACCCCTCTGCAAAACAGAGAACGGAACGAATCTGCCCCCCCCCCCCTCCGAAAGTAACTCTTCACAGAGGGAGTCTGGTCCCAATCCAGGTTCTTAGTTCCCGTAATTAAACATCTGGGCTCTTATCACCAACCTGTCCCCGGATGATTGAAGGTGACAGAGGACACTTTGGATGCTCAATCGACTGAGATGCAAGCACGTACTTGTCACCCTAAAACAGAAAAGACGAAAAAACAAAATTGGTACAACGGCGCCATTTTCAGTTAATTGTCGAAAGTAATCAAGGATTGCAACAGGTACACACTACTATTAATCCTTAGTTAGACTATGAATCTTACGCCCCCTCGCGAACAATTAATGCAAATCTCAAACGATTCGCGAATTGGTCATCCGCGTTTTCCCGCGCTTTAGGATTTTGTTTCTCTTTACATTGAGTTCTCATTGGTTCCTTGCAATATTGCCCTAATTCGCCACATTCATCACACTT